AAAAAAAAAAAAAAAAAAAAAAAAAAATAACTGTATATTATACAGCAAATGATTGTCGCTGATCTTTATTTTTATTTTTTTACAATACTTTAAAAAGACTTACGAATCAACATTATTTTCAAAGCATGTCAAAAAGGTTTGCAGAAGGTTATTTTTGCTGTCGAAACATTTCTTCAATTCTTCTGACTGATTTGTTAACTGTAAAATTTTTTAATTAAAACAAGTTTTTTTCCCCCTATTTTCTTAGCAATTTTATTTTTTGTGGAAATTATAGACAGAAATAACGTTAATGACCAAATAAACTAATGTTGTTTAAAACAGTAAAGAATTTGTTTAAAAAATTATTGTCAAATTTAAATTTAGTTTTTAATTGCCAATACTTTCATTGAAGTACGAGAGGAGTTAGGGGGGTTTATAGTTTGTGTTAAAACAACCACAATCATTATGGTTCTTCCGGTAAACCAATTTTTTTTTCCTTCTGTTTAAACATCTGATTTTTAGCAAATGGTAATGAAAAAGTGTCAACATAAAAAGAACAATTAAAAATTACACAAAAAAAAAGTGTAAAATTGTTTAATACGTTCATTACAAATCCGATAAGATTTATAGCAAATTTGTATTGTTGCTAAAGTAACGGTTGAAAAATTTTTAATTGAACTTCTATGTTTTTACAACTGTTAACAGTATAGCATTTGATATAGAGTTTAAAAAAAGAGAAAAAAAAATTAAAATTTTTTTCAGAACAATTTTGTTGCTGCCAATTAAAAATTTTAAAATTTTGTCAACATCTCTATAATCAACTCATCTTTGTTGTACTAAGTACAGATTAAGTTATTGTTTGTTGAAAAAAATTTTTTTTAACTATTGCTTAGTCTAAAAAGTTCTGTTTTGTTGTCACTTATATACTTTTAAAAGCATTGTTGTTTTTAATCTACAAAAAAAGAAAAAAAAAAAAAGAAGAACTAAACAAAACTTGTATATGCTTAAAATGTTATGCTAAGTCTACTTTTTTTTTTGCAGGTTTAGAAGCTTAAGCTTAACATGTATATAATAGATTCTTTTTGACTTTGACAGCTTAATTAGCTAAATATGCTGTAGCAAATGTAAGGTACATTGAAAAAAAGTTACCTGTAATTTATAAAAGTAATGAAAAAGCTGCAGTTGCAAAATAAAACTGACACAAAAAAAATGACATAAAGTTGGAAGAAAAAAAACTGATGAAACAGATAAAAAATGATAACCTGATTGAATTGGTTCCAACACGGATCAATGCAGGTCATTGCCTGTTCTTTCATCTCTGCTGAACAGGTTCGTTGTTCGGTGCATGAGCATTGCCGAACATCCGTATTTGGTATAAGAGCTTCTTCAAAAATTCCTTGATCATTTTTTGACTCCTTAAAATTACTTACACTTTTCTTTCCTGCTGAAGTTTAAAATAAGAATAATAAAAAAAAAAAA